CGCGTAAAATTCGCCGGCGAAGACCATCCGACACCCCCGTTCGCGTGTGGTGAGGTGAGGTGAACACCTCCAGAGCAGCCAGCGACTCCACGCCTTTGCTGACGCGGGCCTAAGGCTATCTGATCACGGGTAACGGGGCGGCTGTACCCGGGGCAACCTCGGACGCTTGGGGCGCATGTGCCATGAACGCAATCGCTGGCTGTGGCGAGCGCGCGCAAGATCGTGCGCGTGCACAAACATTTGCACACGAACACACACGACCATGCACACACTGAAAACACTAACACATAAAAAAAAATACATGCACACTTGATTTATTCACTTCTACAGTCTACTTTTGTTTTTTTGCAAAAAATGGCCTCTCACTGAAGGTCAATAACGGATATGAAAACAAATGAAATTTCAGCATTCATGATTTGAAAAAGTTGGATTGGAAATAGACTCAAGATAAAATGCAAAAAAATGGGGGGAAAAATCTGATTTGAACTCTTGTGGCAGTATATTACAAACAGGTAGCAGATTTTCCTTCCAAAAGACTGCATCTATCATAGGCTGTGGTTTACGGGTGTGTCAAACTGACCAAAATGGTAAAAAAAACAAAAAAACACCAGAATAACAAATTTGAGACAGTTTCATGCCCAAATAAAGTAAAATGATAGAAATAAAACAAAAAATTGCTTCCTTTTATTAGAGATAAAGTTATGTGCATTTTTTGATTTTTGAATATTGTAATTTTTGTCAAATTCCCATAAGGAATAATGGGGTTTTGACCACCTGGCTAGATCAGCCTCTATTATTCAGGAAAAAAAAGGTGCACCTTGTGGCTGAAAGTGCACAGTGCATCTTTAATGTCTTCAGAAAAGGGGGAAAACAGTCTTTGCTGAAATTCATTTTTTCCCACTGATATGGGTATATGTAAAAGGCAAGTGGTTTCCCATTGGAATGCATGTGGCACTTGTGTGGCGCTAATGCAAGATTAAGCATATTTGAAAAAAAAAACACATAACCATAGGGTTTTTTTTCTTCAATTTCAGGTATATCATGCCTCATCACAAAATACACATTTTCTAGGAATTTCTTTGCAAGGGCATTTATAGAAAAAAAGTTATAGCATCAAAGACAAGGCCTTACCCCTCCAGAAACCTTAAGAAGGTACAAGGGTTAAACATACGACACGGTTAAGGAGGAGCGCGCAATTTAACCGGACACTGAGTGAAGACATCAAATAAAACCAGCATATGATCCAAGAAAACAGCGTCACAAATGTCAAGGTTAGAAACACACAGACCGTGCAAGAGTAAGTCTAGTGTGTCCCCGAGATTATTTGTAGAACCGGACACAGACTGCACAAGTTAAAAGAGTCAATGAGATTTTAAAAGTTCCTGGAGACCGGCTCTTCAGGGCAACAAGTGCGGATATTAAAATCACCAACAACAAGGACACGGTCGTATTTTGGCAGAATTTCGGCCAGAAATTCAGATAAGTCACTTATAAAATCCTTATTGTACTTGGCTAGTCGATTGATGACGATGCACAGGACAACATGAGAGCAGTCCAGTTCAATAAATGAATTTATTTAACTCACAACCATATTAATATGGTATGGAGCACATACATGCAATGTACATGTTATAATACAATATACAGTATAAAATACATATAAATATAAATATAAATATAAATACTCTTTTCCTTGACGGTTGCAGAAACGACATAGTACAAAAGATAGTATAAAGAGGACAAGGCAAACATTACTTAAACAAGGGTATCACATTTTTCAGGAAGGCACGCAGTTTACCAATAACTTTTGGCTTGTCATTTTGTAGTAACAGTATCAGTTTCCACATAGATGGTTGGGTTGTATAAAACTTTGGCAAGCATTTCTTTCTGTAACTCAATATACTTGAGTTCCTGCACTCGAACAGTACATGGAACTCATCCCCAACACAGTTGTTGCTACATTGTTTAAAGATCCTCTGACTTCTCTCTAGACCTTTATATCTGCCAGTAACCTTTGGAATTCTTGTATTGTTCAATCTAAAATTGCAAATAGCCTGTCTATAACTATAGTTTTCACACAACAGGTATTTTTGCAGTTTAATCTCTTGTTTAAACTCTACATAGATGTCACATGATGTCATGTTAAGTTCACTCTTCCACTTTTGCAAAAACTGGTCTTTCATCCTTTGTTCAACAGCTTGTTTCAGCCAGTTAATGCTGCATAATTGGGTCAGCCAGATATAAAACAGGCCACAGTCGTCCAATATCTGTTTGACCTGGGAGACCCATGCTGACTTGTATATGCCTGTCTCAAACAGGTTGAGCAGACAGTTGTACATTATTCTACTCAATTTATTCTCTTTACCTTCAATCAGCCTGGCCCAGTACCTGATAAGTCTCACTCTGGCTGAAATACAAATTGGGTATCTGCAGGTTTAAACGAACCATTATAATTCATGGTAATTTGAAAACATAGACAACCTCTAGGTTTTCTCCATTACAGTGAAATTTCAAATTTCTAGTATCTGCTTTTCTGTTTCCAAAAACTGTAACCTTTGTTTTCTCGCTATTAATCTTTAATTTCCACAAATCACAGAATCCACACATCTGGTCTATTGCCTTCTGTAATCCCGCCTTTGTATTTGACATGACAATTGTATCATCCGCATACAATAATAACAAAAGTTGTATAAGTAATAAGTATTTATCTATGTTTACATCATCAAGTTGATGGGCTGGCAGCCATTGCTTATGAGGTAGTCTTCTAAATCATTAATAAATAAGGAAAACAACAATGGTGACAGATTTTCTCCCTGCCTGACTCCCGCTAGGCTTACAAAGGACTCTGACTTCATACCATTCAGAAAGACACAAGATTTCCCGCTTTCATACATATTTCTGACGACATTCATAAAGTTGCCCTTGATACCCACTTTTGACATTTTGTACCAGAGGGCATCTCTCCATATTGTATTGAATGCCTTGCTGTAGTCTATGAAGGCACAAAATAGTCTCCTCTTTTTAAAACAGAGTAAATCAATAATGTGTTTCAAGACAAAAATATGGTCCGTGGTAGAATAGCCTTTTCTGAATCCCGTCTGATTTTCGCTAACAATGGAACCATTCTCACAGAAGTTAGTCAGTCTTGTGTTCAATATATTTGTAAACAATTTTCCTAGACAGCTCAAGAGCGTGATTCCTCTGTAACAGTCATCAACCTTTCCTTTCCTCTTAAAAATTGGTACAATCAGGCCAATCGACCAGTCATCAGGAAAGGTACCGGAGTCAAGAATCTTATTGAACAAAGATACATATATTGGTGTAAACATGTTTACTGTGCTTTTGATATACTCATTTATCACTTGGTCAATTCCTGCTGCCTTGCCTGTTTTTAGTTTAGAAACTGCTTCCTTGACTTCCTGCTCTGTAAACCTGGCATTTAACACACTATCATCATGTGAGGGCATTTTGGCATCAATCACTGGTATTGAGCTCATTTTCATCTCCCAGTGTGATAGTGCATTAAAGTGGTTAAAGAGGTCTTCCATTGGGATTGGACAAAGTTCTTTGTTACTGCCAGGCCCGTTAAGCATTTTCCAGTAAAGCTTTGGGTTTTGATCTTTGTACTCAGCAATTTTCTACTGAACAAATTTCTATGCTCTCTCTGTGCTTCAAGCATCTCTCTCTTATATTCTTTACTTTTTATCCTCTCGTTTCTGTTGGTATCCTCATTTCTGTGCATTTTACTTTTTGCTTTAAGGTATTCTTGTCTTTTTTGTCTACACTCTTTATTAAACCACACTGCAGGTTTGTTTTGTTTCTGAACAGTTCTGGGTCTAGCTTTACTTTTGGGAAGAATGGCTACTGCACTACTAATTAAAATACTACTTGCTTCCCTGGCCATTTCATCAACTGATAGCTCATCTTGGTCAAGTATCAGTTTGTTCAATTTATCGAGCTGGATGTTTTCTATGTATTCCTCAACCTTGTGTGTATCCCATTTACCTATTTGATTCTCATTAGTTCCAGTGTGCTTTGTGGGGTCCTTGGACTGGTGGTGAACCCTTTTCATATTTGCCTCCAATGACACCTCCACTATGCAGTGCTTGTCTGAGAACAGGGGATCAAAATCATGTACACAGAAGTCTCTGACCTTACTCACTATAAATGGAGAGCCAATGATATAGTCAATTAAACTGTTTTCAACTGTAGTTACTTTTCCAATGTTTCTGTCAGCCCCACACCTTCCGTTCATAATGCATAACTCAAGATTTCTACATAAATCTAGCAGTGCACTGCCATAATTTCCAACATCCCTATGTACATCAGCAGATTTTCTTTTTAAGGGAGCGTTATACCTTTCTATTACTCCCACATGACATTCAGTTTCGTCAATATTATCATCAGGGTTCCACCTGTCACTCTCTACCATAACAAAGTCCTCTCTTTCTTGTGTATGTGCATTTACATCCCCACAGATGAGATAATAATAATTTTCTAGTCCAATGTCGACAATTATTTGCATTAGTTCATCGAACATGCCTACATTTGAATATCTAGTGTTGAATCTAGTGTTAAATCTCTATCATAATTGAGTGCATTTTTGTTAAATTTTAGGCAAACGCCTATCTCACTGTTCATACATTTTTGCACACATGCATCTTCAATTTTCAAGTTCACAGCTATTATCACCCCTCCAGAGTGCCAATTTGTTAGCTTGTGTCTGTTACTAACAGTCATTGCGAAGCCCATATCGTTGAATTTGTCCAGCAACCCCCCCCCCCCATGCCAGATGCAGCCTCTTCTGACTGTGCTCAATGCCCGTCCTATACATCAATGCCGAAGTCTTTGTAGTCCACATCATCGTATCCTATATGGAATAGGTCATCTGAATTGTTAATTGTGACATATCGACCGTCACATTTGCAGATGACTCTGCCGTCCCTTACAAATGTGTGTTGACATTTTTCCTTGGCATACCAGAAGAGCCTGTTCCTCATTCATGTGAGGTCATCACTGATGTAGACTTCTTTGTATTCATCCTTGTTTTTCAGCTCTGATTTGTTCTTCCTCCTGCTCACAAACCTGACAATTGTAGGTCGGCTCTTTCCTTGTTTTCTTGCACCTAGCCGGTGCGAGGTGGAGATATCATTTTTGATGATGTTCACTCCTGCTGCTGTTGCAAGTTGACACACTACTGTGACTAGTTGTTCCTCCGTTTCATGTTGTGATACATCAATTCCTGTGACACGGACATTTTCTTTTCTGCTACATTGTTCAAACTCGTCCTCACTGTATCTGCTCTCCAGGATGTTTCTGTCAAGCCTATAGCAGTCCACCGACGCACTGAGTTGTTTCTGTACTACTTTAACCATAGCTGGCACTGCTGCTTTAATGGTGATCAGCATGATCTTGGCTAGGTCTTCAGCTCCAAAGCTAGCCAGGACTGAGTTGGACTCGCTTTCAATTGCAGCCATTATTTTGGCTTGCATAGCTTCTTTCTCCTCTCCTCTCAGGCCTTTGATCGCAGCCCCCTCTTCCTCGCTTGCCTCAAATCTGTTGCTGAGGAATGACCCGGGTCTCGCCGCGGCTCCAGGTCCCCTCCGCCCCGGGACGGGGCCGCCGCTCTAGGGGGAGGGCTCCGTGCATCCCTCCTCCGAGCACCGCCGCTCGTCTGGCCGGCTTCACCTCCCGCCGAGCCACCACCGGCTCCTCCGAGCCACCACCGGCTCCTCCGAGCCACCGTCCCTCCGTCGGGCAACACAGCTCACCTGACCGCCGCTTCGTCCCGCCGAGCTGCCACCGAACTCCTCTGTACCGCCGTCTGGCTCTTCTGGGCCCGTGTCGGAGCCGGCGTCCTGCTTGCTGCTCGTCCAATTCGGTGTCGTGCCCCTCCTCATCACGGTCTCGCTGGTCAATTTGTTTGTGGACCTCTTATTCTCCCTCTCTCTAAGGGTATTTAGCCATTTGCTGTTGCGGGGGATATCATGTTGTTGTTGTTTCCCGTGCCGCACTCGCCGGCTTTGCGTCCGCCATCTTGCTCCTTGTCAAGCACAGTTCAAAGCTTGTAAAGGAGAATTGCAGGCAGATCTGCTGGCATTTAAAGTCACTTTTAAAAATAACTGCTATTCCACCTCCTTTTCAGGCGACCGCAGGGAATTAAAATAGCTGCAATTGGGCGGACAGAGTTCAATAAGAGGGCTGGACTCACCAGTACTCAGTCATGTCCGTCACACAGAGAAAATCCAATCCTCGGGACATGAAGAAATCCTTCAAGATAAAGGTTTTGTTTGCCAGTGATCTGGCATTCACAAGGCTGAACCTTGCAGAGATCGGCACATCCGAGGCATCACGATAACTTTTACCAGCTGGCCACTGCATTTGCCCCAGGAAGTGGAGCAAGGGTGCAGCGAAGGTGAGCCGGTATCCCGGGAAGGTGAAACGGCTGAAATGTCGTATGACCACAGTGATCAGGATCCAATTTCATCAACTCCTTGGCAGAGAGGCGAAGATCCAGCAATGTTTGGCGGTCATACACAAGCAGTGAGCTGACATTACTGATAACCATAGACACAAACATCACAAACACAAACAGCGCTGACAGCGAGAGACGGCAGGCCACACACCAGTGGCATCAAACCGTGTCTTTCCTTTTCCAAAAATACTGCATTAAAAACTTTGAGTTTTCTTTTTTAGCAAAATCTAATGACCTGGTTATTAAATCAAATGTTTATACTTGAGAAATATGAAAGTGGAAATTCTCTTCAGGGATAAATTAAGTTTTCTTAAATGGGAAAATCAAGTGAAACACAATCCACTGTCCTTATCTTTGACAGTGGCAAAGCCTGGCACACAGCCAGTTTGGTATTTTTGTAGACTGAGGTGCACCAAGCTGGGCGTGGTGGCGCGGTAAGGGAGGTGTCGATAGAATCAGCTGGCGCAGCTGTAGCGATTGGTTTTCGTAGTCGTAGGAAGGGAGAAGAGAGGGCGTGGAGTGGTTTAACACAGCCGAGACCTGTATTGACCAATAACATCAGCTCCTCTCCTCACCTTTAAATCCGCTACCGGTGAGGCGTATTACAATATTAGTGAAGTAGTCAAAGAGATCAAGCGATGTCTGAAGACAGTAATGCCGCACAATGGCAGCCCCTCAACAAGTGTCACTGTAAGAGCTGCATTGGGCGTCCTCCACACTCTCTCATATGAGCACAGATGGATTTGGTGTGTGTAATGTTGGACCCACTAGTAAGACAAACACCCTTTTCCACAAATGAAGACACTCACATAAAGTTGCACATATTCAAACCTCCCGTGACAAAGGTGGGTTGTGCGCACAGATCACAACATAAATTCCAATAATGGCATTAAAATCTGAACCATCTGTGCGTAAATGACGCATCGCGCTCCATGGCCTGGCTCTTTCTTTCATAGATGTTGGCATATAAGATAAATTTGGCTCACAAAACTGAATATTGTAATATTCGTTTGTAGACTTAATTAAATAACTCATCCAATCACTAAAACAAATCATCTGTTCAGCCACAGCAGCAGCAGCTGCAGCAGGACAGAGAGAGGACACGGAGACATGTCCAGTTCGAGCTGCGCAAGAAATAAGAGGAAGAGGAAGAAAGAAAAGGAGGGAGACGAATTACATATCTTGTTAACTTCATCATGTGTGTTTATTTACTAGATATTTAATTTAATTTAATGTGGTTTCAGCTGTGTTGATTCGGTTAGGTTGTGTGTCCAAACGCGTGCCAACACATGTTGATGATTATTTATTGCACTGAAATGTGCCTGACACTGTGGAAACCTGCTGGTGAGGCATCAGTGACGTATGCCGATACGCCGCCAGTCTACCAAAATACCTCTAGACCAGCCCGCTGATTCTGTCGACACCTCGCCCAGCTTGGTGGATCTCGCACCGGGCTCCACCAGACTAAAATACAACTGCGCAGGGTCCGCCACCCTCCGCTGCCTCACCGGCGGACACGAAAATAGAGCTCTTCGTCTTTGCCCACCAACTCCAAAAACCCCAGATGTGTCTTTGCTCCACTGGGGTCCTGTGTACCATGTTTGGTGACTCTTCAAATTTCCTAAACAGTTACAGAAAGACTACTTCCTGTTTCATTGGGTATGACGATAACTTAAGCAACAGCATTTGGCGAAAACTCTGTGCTCTTTGGGGTTTTGAGGTTGGAGCATGCATGGGATAAAATCAACTTCCTGCGTCATGGCAAAACACCCCATCATGAGAGCCTACCGTGGCCGCGTTCTTAACCTTATGATGAACTCTGGATGAGAAGAAAAATGTCAAAGACCCTGGAAAATGGACCAAATGTTTCAAAATGCTGGAGTTTCTGTTGGCACTTCACCATGACATGAGGAGACCCTTTTTTGAAGCCTGGGGAAACCAGACATGTGTAGCAAATATCAAGTCTCTAACTGAAAAAAAACCTTAATGTTGACAGTATTTGGAAAATGTCTTGAGAGTGTCATGGAGTCCACCTTCAAATTCCATGATCTGTGAATTTTTGCGCCTTTGCAAAAGCAAAAAATCAGGAGAGTTTAAAGATGATAAGAGCACCAGTTAAGCAATGATTCACAATATAAATAATCCTGAGGATTGCTTGAGGGTTCTTGATGTGCAGACCCTGATAATTAACAGTAGCATGTTGTTTCAGTTGCTTTGAAAATCAAATGATCTTCATTTCATGTGAGACTGACACCTTCATGCTGTCAAAGCTGTTAGGGAGAAACTCCAATAATATGTTGAGGACAGTTTCAGATCACTGACTCTGTTTGCATATGTGTCCTTCCTCTCTGCTCTCAGCTGTTAAGAGGTCGGAGTTGATCGGTGGCTGTCCAGACTCTTCAGAGACACTGACACGTCCAAAACACAATGATGGAGTTACTTATTGGACTGATGGCCGCCCTGGGGCTCCTCATTCACGATGAGGATCACTGCTGAAAACTTGTTTTCAGACGTTCCCAGGTTCACCTTAGTGGTGTTCTGCTGTGACTTAAAAACCCTGAAAAAAGCTGATTTAACAGCCTGCAATCTGCTGTGTCAGTCTCAGTAACTCTTGCCCTTTTCTTCATGTTTTTCAGGTTCATCAGGAGATATCACCATTACTCAGTCTCCTGGAGCTGTAGCTTTTGTTCCAGGAAAGATTGTTTCTCTCAGATGCAAAGCCAGTGCACATGTTAGCAATGAGGTAGACTGGTATTTTCAGAAACCCGGAGAAGCTTCTAAGCTTTTGATTTATCATGCTTCAAGTCATCAGTCTGGAGTTCCTGATTGTTTCAGTGGAAGTCAGTCAGGAACAGACTTCACTCTGACCATCAAAGGGGTCCAGACTGAAGACGCAGGGGTTTATCACTGTCAGCAGGATTACAGCTTCCCGTTCACACAGTGAAAAAGCGTTGTACAAGATGAGATGAAACCTGTGTCAAATATTTCACTTCCTCCTCTGAGCTCAGTAACCATAGAAACAGAGACACATCACTGCTTGACCGTGACAGCAGGCAAGTTTCCGATTAAAAGTGGGACAGCATGAATGTTTCAGTCCCACATTAAACAAATTTCATGTAAGACTGAAACCTTCATGCTGTCAAAGCTGTTATACTAATAATAATAATATGTTGAGGACAGTTTCAGATCACTGACTCTGAGTGTTTGCATATGTGTCCTTCCTCTCTGCTCCCAGCTGTTAAGAGGTCAGAGTTGATCAGTGGCTGTCCAAACCCTTCAGAGACACTGACACGTCCAGAACACAATGATGGAGTTTTTTATTGGACTGGTGGCCGCCCTGGGGCTCCTCATTCACGGTGAGGATCACTGCTGAGACAGTTTTGATCTCCCTTCTCCATGTTGAAGAGATGATCCTCTTCTGTTTGGACATTGGTCGTCTTCTTCAAGGACACTGAATAACCATTTCCTCTTTTTCTTGTATCTCAGGTTCATCAGGAGAAATTATCCTGACTCAGTCTCCTGGAGCTCAGTCTTTTCTTCCAGGATAGACAGTTTCTATCAGATGTAAATCCAGCACACTTATAGGTGACGACATCAACTGGTACCTTCAGAAACCAGGAGAGGCTCCCAAACTCCTCATTTATGATACTACAGGTCGTCAGTCTGGAGTTCCTGATCGTTTTAGTGCGACAGCACAACAGACTGACTTCACTTTGACCATCAGAGGAGTACAGACTGAAGACGCAGGAGTTTATTATTGTCAGCAGGATAACAGCCGCCCGTTCACACAGTGAAAAAGCGTCGTACAAAAACCTCCTCAGCTAAAGAGGAACTGATCTGAATGAACATCTGCACAGTAACAGAGACACAGAGACAACCAGGTCCATGAAACAGAGCACTAAGAGTGAATACTCTCTATAGAAAATGTGTAAAATCATTATTTAGAATATTAGTTTGAACACTCTACATCTATTTGAGATGTTTAATGTTGTTTCACCCCAGAAGTGATTCATCCTACCATAATGAAATGATGTCATTATTGTGATATACTCTCATAATAGTCCTGGAGTTTAATGTGCCATTTTATTATTACCTTATGATGATCTCAATATGACAAAAAGGCACTAAAAACAGGGGTTAGTATCATTATCTTTTAATTAACAGGTTTTTATTAAACTTCACAGAAAAGTTCACAGAGTGCAGTATGAAGAAGTCTAAAGAACTCATGTCACTGTTTTCAGTCAGTTTTAGCACAAACTCACTGTTTCTGATTCTGACATTTCAACTTCAGACAAAGAGGTTTAACAAATCCACCATTTTTCTGTCTGTGCAAGAATCTGGATCCTATCCCAAAATTTATTAACAGGCTTTATATCAAGACAAGTACTGAGCAGAATTTCCCCATACTATAATATATTGTGTCCT